ATTGCAGGGTGCGTTTTTGCACACTGCAGATTGCGCGGTGTATTTTGCACACTGCAGATTGCAAAGTGCGTTTTTGCGCACTGCAGGTTGCAAGGTGCATTTTTGCACAGTGCAAATTGCAGGGTGAGTTTTTGCATGCTGTAGATTGCAGGGTGGGTTTTGCATGCTGCAGATTGCAAGGKGCATTTCTGCACACTGCAKATTGCAAGGTGCATTTTTGCATGGTGTAGATTGCAAGGTGGGTTCCTGGAGGGCTGGTCTGAGATAGGGCATCCTGCTCTGGGAGACCAGCAGGACCACAGAGGTGTCCCTGGAGGAGATGCTGCCCAAACACAGGCACCAAAGCATCATCCTTGACTCAACTCGGTGACTTGCAAGGGGCAAAGGGACGGGAATTGGCTCACCRTTTGCCTGGGTTTTTGAGAAACTTTTCCAAGAAATGGCTAAATCAAAAACTGAGTCCTAGATTCTGCCCGTGCAGACAGGAGGTGACAGCGCCTGATGACTGGGAGAGCTGGAAAYGTTAAAGGTGTTTTTTAAAGCACAAAGCTCAGGTGTAGATGTGCAATGTAGGAAAAGACATCCCTATATTTCCTGGGGATAACTGCTGAAAACTCCTCCCTGTGCGTTGCTGGACTTTGCGATCGGATAAAATACAATTATTGCTAAATCCTCACCAAAAAAAAAAAAAAAAAGAAAAAAAGAAAAAAGAAAAAAGAGCTTGGCAGGAGCCTCCGGAGCCTTTCCTAACTCCCCAACCTTATCTCCGCCGCGTTTCATAAGAGCAGCCTCCTCCCCGCCCGGGCGCTTGGCAGCGGCGGCGATGTAATAAAAAAACCCGGGTCTGGCYGGGCAGCCAAGCTGGGCAGGGTGGGCCTGAGCGCGGGCTTAGCTGAGCCCRAGCTCTTGCCTTGGGCTGCTGTGCAGAGGAGCGGGAGTCAGTGACAGGAGGGCGTCTGGCCAGCCTAGTTAGGCGCTTGCTGGTGCAAAGACGTTTGCAGAA